TTCCTTGTAAGACTTCTTGTTGCCATGTGTCTTGCCCTACCATTTCAGAACATTGTTCATTAATGGCCTGAGCTGGGACACCAGCAAAAAGGACTCAAAGGACTCTTTGCCAAATGTGGAGAGGTTGTTATCCATACTATAAAGGACCCCAACATTGAAAGATCAAGAGGGTTGGGCTGATCCTCTTTAAAGATGCAGCCAGAGTGGGGAAGGTAAGCTATGTAGTCCTTCAAGGGCCCTTGGTGCACAGGATTTGATTTCTGAGAAAATAGCATTCCTGGATCATGATCGGTGTGTCTGAGCTATCTATAGCCAAGGCTCTGAGGGAAGCAGAATTTAGGGACTTATTTCTGTACAGGTTTCAGGGGGAATAAGAAGTATATGGGTGGAAGTGGTCCAGGAAGAGGCTAGTGGACATTTATTATCTGTTTACCTGCCTGTTTGGGACACTGTGCTAAATACCTCTCATGTATAGAAAAGCATCCATGTATGCTATAAAACAGGCATGATTTAAGTGCCACTTCACAAAGGACGAGATTAAGGCCCACAGAAGATTTGGTAACTAAGAGATTGCACAGTAAGTAGGGGGTTGGCACAGTGAGCATTCTGTACCCAGCAGTCCAGCTACAGCCTGTGCTGTTTTACCTCTGGAGGAAACAAGTCTTAGATTGGGACCTGAAGAGGGCATGCAGCATGGACAGAGACTCCACTCGACTGAGGTCAGATTTATGCGTGTTTCGGTAAACCAGCTGGATTTCAGGTTTAGAGAAAACTGGGAAGTTAGGCTCAAGTAGTGTGTGGTGTGTGTGGAAGGGATGAAATATTTTGTGTACCGGTGGTGGAGTCTTATGGCTCAGAGAAAAGGAACTAGCCCAGGGTAATACTGTTAGGAAATGCCAGTGAGAATTAGAACCAGGGTCCGTCCTACCCCCTTCTCAGAAGGCATTGTCCCAGTTTTTTTTTTTTTTTTTTAAGATTTTATTTATTTGACAGAGAGAGACACAGCGAGAGAGGGAACACAAGCAGGGGCAGTGGGGGAGGGAGAAGCAGGCTTCCCGCGGAGCAGGGAGCCTGATGCCGGACTCGATCCCAGGACCCTGGGACCATGACCTGAGCCGAAGGTAGACGCTTAACGATTGAGCCACCCAGGCGCCCCAGCATTGTCCCAGTTTTAGCACTGAAAGTCCCACATCCCAGGAAACCCGAGTCTCCAGTCTTAGTAAGTCCCTCAACCTGGGAAATCCCTCACTTCTGGTTTTAGCACTGGAAGTCCCCCAATCCCTTAGTCCTGGGCAAACCTGGATGGTTGGTCAACTGACTCCTGTGTGGGAATAGGTCCCAGACCCAGACAATGAATGGATGGCCATCGCATGAACTCCAAAAGTGCCATGGTTGTGAAGAAGGATCTTATGAAGAAAATGTGGGGAGTCTGAACCCCAAAGCTACAGGGAAGAGGAAAGGGAGTACTTTGGCAAGTTTCAGGAAATGAGTATCTCCCCAAAATGTGGTTTATGCTTCCCACCAACCACCTGTGGCTGCTTTTTTCCTTCCTTCCTTCCTTCCTTCCTTCCTTGGCTGGCTGGAGTTCTCCTCAGCAGGGCTTCTTTCTCCTCCTCTGGCATTTGGGTGTCTTCTCTCCTGTGAGTTCCCTTTCCATCCTGAGTCAGAGGAGGTACCAGCCCTGAGCTTTGCCTGTGTTTCCAAATCAAGGCCAATGAGTTTTGCATGTTTTTTTTTTTTAGGGATTTTTTAAAATATATTTATTTATTTTAGAGAGGAGGGGCAGACAAAGGGAGAGAATCCTCAAGCAGACTCCCCACAGAGCACAGGGCCCAATGCGGGATTCCATCTCAGGACCTACAAGAGCCGAAACCAAGAGTCGGATGCTTAACCAACTGGGCCATCCAAGCACCCCAAGGCCATCAGTTTTCATTGGATCCAGAGTCCAACAAAAGACAAGGTTCTGTTTTCATCACCTTTAAAGAAGAGAAACCTGTGAGAAATATTCTAGAGAAGTTCCACACCATCAGTGGAAGCAAGGTGAGGAGTCTCTGGCTCCATGTGCCTGCCTTCCCACCTCTGGAGAGCTAGCCTTTGGATTACTGGGAACCCAATAAGGTAACCAATCATCCCGATTTAACACTGAAAGTATCATGTTCTGGGAAACCTTTCCTGGAGGAGTATGAAAGGTCCTGGTTTGGGCAATGAGTGTGGAAGACTGGAGGCATCAGCCTCTCAACTGTGCTCTCCTCTTCTCCAGTTCCACCCATACACAGCTTATGAAAGCCTGTGTTACTATACATTGGGAGTTCTTCAAATCCAAAGGGGCCTGAGGATGGAAATCAGGAGATCTGAGAACATGGATGGAGAAAAGAAATTTCTATCTTCACGAACCTCTAACTATAGTCTAGCATTTCTTTCATAGGCAACAAACCACTGCAGTATTAGTACCTGTGACTGTCATCACTAGGAGTCACAGATGCTTGCATGTTCCAGATACCTCAAAATATTGTTTAGCTGCAGCACTACTTGGGAATTATGGTCATTATTATTCCCACTCTGAGATCTTGTAATGTAATAAAGAAGCACATCTATGAGACCACAGATTTAAATTTTTAATAATTTGATAACTGTATTTCAGTAAAATTGGCTTCCTTGGCAATCCTATGTTTTTTATTGTGTGTTTTTCCAGACTGCCAAAGGGGATTGATGGCACATCAGAGGACCATCTGTCTCTGCCGTGGATCATGAATAGACAGCTTGACAAATAGGTAGAGATGAATATGCTTTGTGGCACCCTCGCCTTCTGCTCTAACTTTATCGTTAGCTGACATATGAGTTGAGAGGACAGTGGCCCTTTTGCCTAAGAACCTTCGTGAACCCACATGTCCAAGAATATGGAATTTCCCATCATAGAGAGTTGTTCTTTTAGGTTTAGGTGAAAATGCCTCAAGTAGGAATATCATGGAACTGTTTCCAGCTTCTAATACCTCAATGATGGGGTGGAAGGGATCTCTCAGAGCACCTAGTCTGAGCAGCACCTTATAAATCCAGGCACTGAAGTCTGAGGTCACGGGCAAGTTATTTACTGGAGGTCATACCCGGTAAAGATACGGAGGCATTCCAAGAGGGTTTTTAGTTTTATTCCGGAGAGGGAAAGTCCTGGGAGTCTGGAGAGAGACGGTGGGGGGAGGATAGGGTAAAGATGGGCATAGAAGGGGATGGAAAGGAGAGCTGGCTATTACTGTATAAGGATACAAACATACTGACTCAAAGGGGCACATGCACCCCCATGTTTATAGCAGCAATGTCCACAATAGCCAAAATATGGACAGAGCCCAGGTGTCCATTGACAGATGAATGGATAAAGAAGATGTGAGACATATATGTGTGTGTGTGTGTGTGTGTGTATGTATATATGTAGTATATGTTATATACATTATATACAATATCGTATATATTGTATATACAATTGTGTGTATACGCACACACAATGGAATATTACTCAGTCATCAAAAAGAACAAAATCTTGCCATTTGCAACCATGTGGTTGAAACCAGATGGCATTATGCTAAGCAAAATCAGTCAGAGAAAGACAAATATCGTATGATTTCACTGCCATGTAGAATTTAAGAAACAAACCAGATGAACATAGGGGAAGGGGAGGAAAAATAAAATAAGATGAAAACAGAGAAGGAGGCAAGCCATAAGAGAACTCTTAACTCTAGGAAACAAACTGAGGGTTGCTGGAGGGGAGGTTGGTGGGGGGATGGGGTAACAGGGTGATGGGCATTAAGGAGGGCACTTGATGGAATGAGCACTAGGTGTTATATGCAACTGATGAATCACTAAATTCTACCTCTGAAGCTACTAATACACTATATGTTAATTAAATTGAATTTCAGTTTAGGAAAAAAAGAAAAGAAAGGAGAGCTGGGACTTGGAGCCAAACTTCCCCCACTCCACATTCCAGTGCCTGCCATCAGCTCTCCTGGGAACCTTCAGCAATCCTATCAACTCCCTAGGACCAACTTAGACTTCTCATAAGTGAGATAGTCACGTTACTTCCCTGAAGCACTTTCATGCACAAGGAATAGGTTCAGCAAACAAATCTTCACAAGATTTACCGTATATTCTTAGGGTTTTTTTCTTTAATATTAAGAAACTGCTATTATTCACAGCCCAGCAACACTCCTAGAGCTGCTTGATAACTCCTACATGACCGCCTTCTTCAAATCTCTGAAGGACTGTCCTAGAAGGAAGAGGGTCGGGTTGGCGCGTTAACAGTATGCGGGTTAGAAGGCAAAACTGGCCTGAGATGAGTTGTTGCCAGGAGGCACAATTCCAAATCCACTTAAGGTTCATTCCTGGGATCGGATTATCCCGGGACTAGACATGACTTAAAGTGCGTTTTCAAGTCTGTCGGTCTATACCTTTCCCCTCACATACTTAAGCCCAGCAAATCCTGGGCGTGAACTATAAAACCGGGATCCTGATCTCCCCTCCACAGCTCCAGGACCTGCTAGCCAGTGTGATATAATGAGGGGAGCTCCGACTTTGAAACCAGACAAACTTGGGCTCTAACCTTTGTACCCCACTTAGGAGCTGAGACCGTGGACGAGTAAATCACTTCACCTGTCTGAACCTTAGCTCCCCCCACTGAAAATGGGGGTAATCTGCTGGCGAGAATCTAAAAGGCCTGGGTTGCTGTTGAGGTCGCACAAATGTCCCTTGAGTGATGAATGAAACTCACGGTTAAAACTCCGCCTTCTGGGATCCCGGCTACACCCAGACCCACTCTCGGCGGATGCTTCTCAGTCCTGCCCCGTCCGGCAGGAGGCAGCAGACCCCAGTCCGGGTGCGGAGCCGGAGCCGGAGCCGAAAGCCCGGCAGAAGCGGCCAGAGGCCGTCGAGCGGACTGGCCTCCGGTCTGGAGCCGGTGCGGGACACGCCCAGCCGAGGAGGGAGGGCGGGCAGTGGCGCATGCGCGCCGTGGGGAAGGTGCCGCCCGGAACCTGCAGGCCTTGCCCAGTGCCGGGAGGAAGCGCGCAGAATCGGGAGGCGCTGGCCGCGGGGACCGCTTCCCGACCCCAGGTACGAAGTTGGCCCGAGGCTGGCTCCCGATTTGCCTCCTTTGAGCCGCGGGGAGGGCTCGGGGCTGCAGGTGAACTGTACACCTCGCAGTCGAAAACTTCCCCTTCTGAATTTTCTTGTGAAGGCACAGATACGGGCAAAGATGCTGAGGACCTGGGGAGGATTTTGCAGGGGATGGGGGCTGCTTCTCCCAAGCGTCGCTTCTTTCCACCTCCTGGGAATTCCCCGAATGTCCTCCTTCCGCGGCCCTGAATCTCCCACCTGTTCTTCCTACCTTCCTGGAGCTAGGGAGAGGCGAGAAAGGGATGGGGTTCTCGGACCATGGCATAAACGCTTGGCAGTTTTAACCTTCCTAGTACCACCCAGACTTCACTCGAAAATGGTCTTTCGAGCTCCAAGGGGTGTAAAGGTAGGTAGCTTTTTATATAGTAGCTTACCGAAAATCTTAGTGGGTTCCCCAAGTTTTGGAGGGCTAGGGGCAAGGCAGGGCCCTGTCACCTGGTTTCGTACACGGTGCAGTAAATCATTTTGCTGCATTGCACCCAGGATGTTTTCTGGCCTCTCCAAGTACTGAAGGTAGCGTTTGCAATGAGAGCATGTGATGCAAGGCGCGCATCGGCTCCCACTTCCATCGCTTTCCTTTGTGGTTCTGGTCATATGGTCCTGCCATGGAAATGGAGCAAGAGGGGTGATTGCTTTTTGTCTGCATTTTCTCTGTGAGTTCAGAAACTTCTTGCAAGGATTGGGAATAGATGTATTTTGCCTCCTTAGAATACTCAGTTCAGTAAGGAGATTAAGGGAACAGGCTGTTTCCTGGCAATAGAGCTAGACTGAGGGGTTGGTCAGATACAAAATGTCTTCCTTGGGCAGAAGTTGTTCCTTTGGTTCATTCAGCAAGTATTTTCTACACACTCTGCCTTGGGCGTGGCTGTGAGCTTGGTGTTGTGGGGAGGACAAAGATGAACTGAACTGGAGCTTAGCCCTGGAGGAGCTTGGCTGGGAGGGGAGATAGGGAGGGGAGCCCAACCTAAGTAACTCTATACCAGGTAGAAGGGAGTGCAGCCCTGAGAAGAGGGTCAGAAGACTGGGAGCTCAGAGGAGGGAGAAGAATCGGCCTTTTACATCAGGTGGTCGGCGTAAGGAGAAAATTAGATGCTCAGATTACTACCTGATGATGAGTGATCTCTCATAAGCTTCAGATGTGTGTGTGTAAAGGTGTCTTCCTCACTGTGTCAGCATCTTAGACTGTGTCTCAGATAGAGCCCACCATTCCTGGATTCCTCCCTCCACCTGCCACCACATGCCTACTGCTGGTCCAGTGCTCCCTGTCTCGGGGAGTAGCATCAAGGCCTCCCTTCTTCCCACCTCTCCTTCCTAGTGGTCCAAGCCAGAGACCTAGAGGTGAGTCATCTCTGACTCATCCCTCCCCCGCACTCCCCACATCCAGGCTATTGATTCTACTTCACAAACCTCTCTGAGAGCTGACCCACCCTCCTTGCCATTGCTCCAGGCCAGGCCACCACCATCTCTTGCTTAGCTCAGCCTCCTCCTTCACTTCGTCCCATGTCCCACTACCACTGCAAGGAAGCCCTTGCTAGAATTAAATCTGGTTGTGAGACTTCCTTTGTTCATCCCTTCTGCCCTTGAGACAGAACCCAGCCTCCCTCTACAGCACTCACAAGCGTCCTGGCCCTTTTTCCCCAGCCCCCTGTCTTCCCAGCCCCCCTGCACTCCTGTTCATTTTTGAAAACATGCCCTGCTTTCTCATGCCACTAGGCTTTTACACATGTTCTCTCTGCTGCCTAGAGCACATCCTTCCTTGCCACCCTCTTCACTCGGCTTACTCCGCCTCTCCCCAGGATCCCAGCCGGGACCCCGTTTGCTGTAGGAATCCTTTCTTAGGCTCCCAAGTCCCCTGAGGCACCTCTTCTTAATATGGGGCCCATGCATCTCCTCGTAGGGCTCACCACACATCTGCCTCTGCTGTGCTGTGCTGGAAGGCCAGAGCCAAGTCCAAGGGCTTTCCGTGGCTTCCTACTGCCTTGCACAAAGAAGACGTTCAATAAATAGTTGTTAAGTGGAGCTGAGCATAAGCTGTAACATTATGATTTGACTCATCAAATGCCTGAGTCATAAAGTCACCCCATCTCCATTGTTTTCTCAGTGAGCTGGTATAGTTATAGCCTCACACATGTCAAGCTTAAAAATGGGTATAAGGGTGAAAGAGGAGAACAGTCATTATTAAAGCAGCTAGTATTTGTCGAGTGCTCAGTATGTGCAGGCGCTGTTGTAAGCACTTTTCAGTATTACCTCATTTAATCATCACAACTCTGCGAGGTAATTTTGTTATCCGTATTTTACAGATTAAGGAACATGCGCAATGTCACATAGCTAGTAAGTAGTGGTATCAGGTTTGGAGCCAAGCATACATTGTGGAATTCGATTAACTCTTAGGGAAAGGCAGTAGGTAGGACGGACCATGAGAAGCTGACAGGGCTGAAGATGGAAAGTCACCAGATGGAAGGCGGTGCAGTGTGGTTGCAGCTTGAAGCTGTGAGACCAACAGAAGGGACTGAAGGGACTTGACAAATCTGAAGGGCATTAGCTTTGTCTGCATAGTCATTTTTTTTCAGACCGCTGACTCAGTTAGCAGAGGCATGATTGCTAGTGGCTAGGAATGAGACTTCTCTCAGTCTGAAGCCTTGGTCCTGTTGCATGGCCTCGGGGGTATTGCTGGCCCTTTCTGTGCTTCAGTCGTCTCATCTGGAAAGTGGGGTAATAACGACAGGCCTTAACTCAAAAGGTTGGGGTAATAATTAAACGAGCCAATGTAAGGCTTTAGAAGGGTGCCTAGCACATGGTAATTGCTCGCAGACATTGTCATCCCCGTTATTACTGTGTGTTTATCCATCTGGCAGTCCGCAGTGGTTTTTGAGCACAGGTCCTTCCTGTGGGTTCTGTCCTGCAGCACTGCTCCGTGGACACAGACGAGTTCTCCTCTTTTAATTCTTCTTCCCTTGGAGGTTGAGGATTTTTTACTAGTGCCTCCCAAGCAGTGCTGTCATGTCCTGGGCCTCGGGTTCCCTCCCCGCCACACCCTTCCTCATAGTAACTTTTGGCTTCCTCTCTGAGATCAGTTCAACACTCCTTTTCTGTTCTTCTGGGTCAGTTTGTTACCAGTTTGTGCAGAGGATCAAAGACTAGGTTAACCTAAAAGATGAGCAGCAAGAACAGAAAAACTACAAAGAAACCTCATATGAGTGCCCCTGGGTGGCTCAGTTGGTTCAGCGTCTGCCTTCGGCTCAGGTCCTGATCCCAGAGTCCTGGGATCGAGTCCCACGTCGGGCTCCCTGCTCAGTGGGGAGTCTGCTTCTCCCTCTGCCTCTGCCCCTCTCCCTGCTTGTGCTCTCTCTCTCAAATAAATGCAATCTATAAAACAAACAAACAAACCTCATATGCTATTCCTTGTATATACAAAGATATTTTCCCCATGGGGGAAATACAGTAAAAGAGGTAAGATATAAAAGCACCACTGTGAATCAGAAATTAAAAGAATTAAAAAGCTGCAAGGAACTTTAGGGTTCATCTCATCTACTCTCCTCATTTTGGGGGGCATCGACGTCAGGGATGGGGCGTGGTCCAAAGCCCAACAGCCAGCTAGTGACCTGTACCCATGTCTCCAGCTTGTAGCCAGCACACTTTCTCCTACGTCTTCTAGATTCCTGGGTAGGATTATAATGAAAATTCTCAGCCCTAGATATATGTCTCAACTGCTGCTATGAGGCACTGTAGGATACTCTCATCACTCACATAGTTTTGTGCAAGGGGCTTCATTATATTCTTCAGTGATTTACCATTGATTAAGCATGGATATCTCTGGCTGAGCTTTCCTTTTTTTTAGTAGACTAGAGAAATTAATCTCTGTAATTCTGTGGAATGCATATCATTTTTATATTACCTATGCTCCCCCCAGTTTTTTTAATTTTGTAAAACTTGTCCCTTCCCCCAGCAGTAGAATTGCAACCTTGCCAATGGACCTGATTGGTTTCGGTTATGCGGCCCTTGTGACATTTGGAAGCATCTTGGGATATAAGCGGAGAGGTAAGCCTTAACCGTATTTTTCATCCAAGGGACTTGGTGGGGGATCGGTGGTTGTGCTAAGATTATCTGAGGGTTTGTAAATACGACAAGAAGCTGAAGATGTCCTAGAGGTGGCTGAGGACCAGCATGTCATGCGTGGAAGGGAGTCGAAGAGGGCAGGGGGCGCTGGGTGCGACAGAGCATTCCAGCCCAGCTGTCTGGGTCTCTCTTCACGGGTCATTATCAATTGCATAATTAATTGACTTAACCTCCTCAGGGCTACTCACTTATTATCAAGTGAGGATTTTTGTTTGTTTACATACTCTTAGTGTCAAAACCTGAATTATGTTGGTACTGTGTTTTGCAAAGGAAAATTTGTTAAATACTTATATATCCTATCTGAGGTTGTCTCTTCATCTGTATCCAAAAGAGGAAAGAAAAAAAAAACCTAGTTGATAAGTTTTCGTGGAAAAAAATGAGAGGTTCTATTTGTGATATTGGTGGGCTTCACCTTGAGTGAAAAAGCCAGGTCTACATAGTTATTAGAGTTATTATTTAACAGTTGCTAAGAAGTCCAAGGCCAGAAGCACAGGTCTCTGTAGGGACTGAGGGGTGGCAGGTTAAAATAGAGTATTTTCTAAGATTCCTGGGAACCTCTAATTTACTTAGACTTTTGTTTGTTGCTCTTACGTTCTCTCTCAATGTGTGTAGCATCCTCGATATGTATTCAGTGGAAAAATATGATGGCACCAAAGACCTATAAACCACTACTGATGTTTTATAATCTTCTTTGAAGAGGGCTCAGTTTAAAATTCTGATAGGGTTGTTGTTGAAACACTTTTTCATTGTCAAAGATGTGTCTAAATAACTTCTGTGACAGAACAGAAAAAGCACCTCTGGACCTTTTTGCCTGCGTGTTAGAGGGGTGGGAAGAAGGAAGCGCGTGCGTGCGTGCGTGTGTGCGTGCGTGCGTGCGTGTGTGTGTGTGTGTTGGGGCGGCTGGGGGTGGGGGAGGGGAGGAGAGACAAGGATTACTTTACAGTTCTAAGCCAGATCTCTTCAGGAACAAATTCAATCACATTCTCTGTAAGGTTTCTGATTTCAGGTGCATGTGGCTCAGTTGCACAATACGGTTCCTTGGCCTCCGACAGGAGCCCCCAACTAAGTGATCCTGGAAGCCCCTGGGGGCGTGTGTTCCAAAAGAAGCCCCCTCTTGTATAATGTAGGTTAAGAGCACAGGCCACAGAATCAGACTTTGCTAAATTCTGCTCATGACACTACTCCTTACTAGCTTGGACACTCACGTGAGTTGTTTTAACTTCTGGGCTTCAAGTCCTCATTTGTATATTAATCAGTTAGGATTAAATAAGAATAATGCATGTAACACATTTCACATAGTGCCTGGCCAGAAGAAGGGTTTAATATTCTTGTTTCTACTGCTACTCCCTGCCAGTGGGAGAGTGTGTGGGCCAGTGGGGCAAAATACTTTTTTCTAGTTTTGTATTCTGTATAATGTTTTAAGCTACTTGTGGTCCCAGCATCTTAGAGCTGTTGTAAAAGTGAATCAACTCTTTCTGTTTTTACTTAAAGCTTCCCTAGACATGAATCCCGTATAGTTCGGCCAGGAGACCCTTCCACAGGAGAGTTACTGAGAACAGTGCTGGGTAGGTTAAAGATGTGACATCAGAATGGTGTTTGGTAAGAGGACAAGTATATCAGAATCCTACATTAGACCAGGTGCCGGGCTTGGGTTGGGTCAGAGTGAGGGGCTGATAGATTTTTTCTCTTGCCAGGAGCAGAGAAAGGGGAGAGCGATAGCACAGCGACAGGATGCTGAGCACCAAGTTCTGAGGTCACCCCTCTCCCACATAGGTCCCCAGAAAAGTGCATAACCAAGAAGACACTATGATTCTGAGGCTTTTTCTGAGCCAGGTGGCCAGTGTCCAAAGCCAAAGATGGGCAGAAAGCTCACTTGGCCTTCTCCTACACTGGGGCTGAACCTGACCTCGTACCTTCCTACTCCAGTTCAAGGTCAGGGCATAGCAGCCCCTCGGGAGAGGAGGGGAGCAGGAGAGCTTGTCAGGCAGGTGTCGTGCCCTGAGGAAGGGAGGCCCCCATGTGCACCTTTCAACTCCTTTGAAAACTCCTTGAGACTGCCCCAGCCACGTTGGCACTTGGAGGAAGGGGGGGTCGGCAGAGCTGGGAGCTGCTGCTTCTTCTTTTTTTTTTTTTTTTTGGTAGCCCCACCATAAACTGAGCTTTTTTGCAGGATCTGGCTCCCTTCCACCAGCCATAGCTTTCTTATGAGGTAGAGCCCACGGTCCCAACTCCTTCCTCACGCAGGATGGGCTCTCCCAGGGAGCCTTCCCACCTCTCATTCATGTGGGCTGCTGGTGTGCCTGCCCGTCCCCACTGTTTGCTGTCTGAGCTCGCCAAGACTCAGGTGCAGATGCTGCCCCTCCCTCCATATACTTAAGGTGGGGAGGATCCTAGCAGTGCAGAAATCGTCAGGGTGTACAGAAGAGAGTCAGAGATCTCTAAGTGAGAAGACACCTTAATTAAGTCATGCATTCCAGAAAATGCTTAAATCCCCTTAACTATTTTCTTAATCTGCCGTCTTCTGCTTAAACATGATCCATAACAGGGAGTGCCTGGGCATGCATTTTGTCAATGTTTATCGAGTGCTGCCAAGTACCCAGCACTCTGGCAGGTCCTGGAAAACAGCAGTGAGCAAAAAGAGACGGTGCTCAAAAGCAAGTCAGGGGGCTGACCGTAAATATGTGGACAGGTGTACAAATACATGACGGTGAATTGGGGGAGGCTCTGATGGGGGCCCTGTTTCAGAATGGTGGGTCAGAGAAGACATCCCTGAGGAGCTGACCCTTACAGAGAGATCTGGAGGTGAGCTGCTGCAGTTGGCCAGGTGAACGGTGCAGGGAAGATCAGTCCAAGTAGGGAACAGCATGTCTAGAAGCCATGAATAATAAAGAGTTTGACGTATTCAGGGAACTGAAAGAAGGCCAAGGCTCCAATAATCGAGCAGACTTGGGTTTTTCCGTAAGTGCAGTAGGAAGCACTGAAGGTTTTTAATTAGAGGAGTGACCTGTCTAGATGTATGCTTTTAAAAAGACCATGTTGCCGTGTTTGCAGAATAGATTTGCGGGGAGGGAGGAACAATGAAGAATTTAACATTATCTCCAATTGTAACATTCTAAGCCTTTATATATTTGACATGGATGGTATTACTAACTCTGTTTTGCAAACGACAAAACTCAGAGAGACTAAGTGCCCTCGCCAAGTGCTCCAGGCAACAGATGGAAGAATGAGGACTAGAACCCAGTGCGTGTGCCTTCTCATTCAGGATGCTGCTGTGTGTCTGTCTGTCTGTCTGTCTGTGCGTGTGCACGTGTTGCTGCAATCGTTTTTAACCCTGGCTACAATCTGAATTTCCTATAGATATTTAAAACAGATGCCTTGACCCTACCCAAAGGATTCTAACCTGATAGATTCTAAATAGAGTGAGCTCCACGTACCACCGACTGTGTGTGTGTGTCTTTTGCACCGTGTCCCTGGCATGCAGCCCACTGCCGGCGTGCAGGAAGTGCTTGGTGTTCGTCACCGTGCCCCGGGGCAGTGAATGAATGGGCTGGGGGGCGGGAGTGCACTGGCTGGCTGGCTGGCTGGCTGACTGCGTCAGTGCCCTGGCTCTTCCCATTTCTCAGTACAGTCACCATTCATCCCTGAGTTCTGTCATCTGGAGGCTGGAAGCTTTGTTAATTATTCAGGACAGAGCCATCACTTGCTTTGCACAGGACTTCTCTTTCTACCTCTATGAGCTTAAATACCAGTGCATCCTATTTTTATTATCACAACCTCAGAGCAAAAAGATGGAGGCAAGGAGAAGAGGAAAAAGAGAGAGAGGTGTAAAGAAGTCAGCTGATTGTCCAAGGTCATGCAATCAAGGCCCAAACCGCTACCACCAGACAGGCTTTCTTATTCATTCAGGCCATATCTAACCCTGGCATTGTTGTGTATTCGGGGTTCCTCTGCCTGTCATTTCGGGTTCAGCAGAGATCAGTCATATCTTAGAAACTGTCCATGAAGAGGCTGATATGTGATTTGGCTTTATCTAGTTACAATGCCCAGGTAGATGTACATTGGAAGGTGCATGTATCATACTTGAAGGAATGGAAGGAATTCCTTTCATTTGGGGATCCTCTTTCTGAGCACATTTTTTTTTTTCCCCAGGCGGTGTTCCATCTTTGATCGCTGGTCTTTTTATTGGATTTTTGGCTGGCTATGGAGCCTATCGTGTCTCCAATGACAAGCGAGATGTCAAACTGTCACTGTGTAAGTAAGAAATTTTTTCCAGTTATGAAGAAGGGTCGAACCTTGGGAGTGGCTGTTTTGATACCCTACACGAGGCATACTGGAAAACGTGCAACCACGTGGCAAGTGGGTATGCATGTGTCGAGACTGAACACAATACTTGTTCCTTTCTAGACCCAGTCGCAAACAAGCAGTTAAGTAGTTCACATATACTTATTGTCATTTTGTTCTTTATATCAGCAAGTGATTTTTCCCTGAAAGCTATTCTGAAATTGTGACGTCAGCACCCTCATCTCTTACATAAAATGGTCTCTCTCTCTCCATATTGACTCAGCTCCTAAAAGGCTGGTGTGACGCTTCTGAGTTTAATATTATTGCCCAGACTGTTATTATTTAGCCTCCAGACATCCATTTCCCAAAATGCAGTGCTGCACATTAAAAACAGCCTTTTTCCTAGTATTTCCTTATTCATCAGGTCTTACTTACAATAAAAGATTCTGATTATTTTCTTTACTTTCACCGAAATGAGCATTTATTAGGTGTCTCCTGTGGATCCAGACATACTGCCTAGTGTTCCTGAGGAAAGTTGAATGAGACACAGTCCTAGCCTTCCAGGAGGTTCTACCACCAGAAATTTAAGTTAGACAAAGACTTTTGAAGATATTTCAGGAATGGATTTTTAACGTGCTTGTTTACTCAGAAACCTTTTCAATAGGCTAGTTTATAAAGTCTTTTAAGAGAGCACTTTATCTTTTCAAGAAGGCAACTTAATACTTACACATAATCGTCATTATATTAAAAAGCTGAAACAATGTCTTTTTTTTTTTTTTTTTTCTTGCACAAGCAGGCATTGATAATGTGTTTGAAACTCTGGTTCATGCATTGGTTTGGTTTTTAGTTACAGCTTTCTTCCTGGCCACCATAATGGGTGTGAGGTATAAGAGATCGAAGAAAATCATGCCGGCTGGGCTGGTTGCAGGTTTAAGGTAAGAAACACTATTTATCTGTACTTTCTTCTACCATCATTTAGTGTTGACTTTTTGGCAAGAGTCAGTTTTAACTTGAAAAGGTCAAAGTAATTTTTGTTACAGTGAGCATAACTGTAAACCCCCACATCAGGCTCTCTGGCTCTCCCTCTCCCACTCCTCCTGCTTGTGTTCCCTCTCTCGCTGTCTCTCTCTCTCTCTCTCTCTGTCAAATAAATAAATAAATAAAATCTTAAAAAAAATAGAATAAAAAACTGATTTCAGTCTCATTTTTCCTCAAGATTGACTCATCTGAAACAGTAAATACATTCATTGAAATCTGATACTCAGTCTCAGAGTGTTCGACAAAGTGATAGCCTGCTACACTTAAAATTTTGAATTTTTAAGGGACAGTTAATATTAAAAAAATAAATAGGGAGCCTCCGATTTCTCTTAATTTGATCCCAGTAATTCTATCCATGAGATTAAGCATATTAACCACATACAAATTTATAGGTAACATTTTTAATTCGTCCTGGAGGCAGCCTTTGTATGTTGAAAGCCTTAAACATGTTTACTTCTTTTGTTACACATTTTTACTTTTCGGAATAAAGAAATAAATGTATACAAAGACTGATGTTTATTGCAACTTTAATTCCAATGGGACACATGACGAACTAAAGAATTAGAAACAACCTAAAAACTCACCAATAAGGAAATGTTTCAATAAGTGTTTTGTCTGCTTAATGAAATATTGAGCAGCAATTAATAACACATTTTCAAAAACTATTTAGTGGCATTAGAACATCTTAATGATGCTGTGGGACATAAAAGCAGAATAAATAATCAAATATAGTATGATCTCAAAAGTTTGTGTATAAAAAAACAAGATAGGAAAGATAGGCTTCAAACTGTAATAGTGTTTATCACTGGGTGATAATACAATGAGTAAGTTTCTCCTTCCTACTTTTCTTTAGAATTTTCTCGTGTGGCTGTGTATCATGTTTATGACTTGGTGGGCGGGGGGTGGTGTCAGGGAGGAAAGTGATTACAAAGAACTGTTTTCCAGTTATGGCTGTGTTCTAAAAATGATCCTTGGTAATAGAAGGAATCAGAAGTAGGGTTTATGGGTCAAGAAGAACAAGACCCCAGTCAGTGGAAAGTGGCTGAGATTGTAATAATAACACCCCAAAATTGCTCCTTGCTTCTTTTTTCAAGCCACTTGCCTTTACTAGCTTATGAAAGGTTTGTGTTCCTTTCCAAACCTTTCTCTTACAAAGGTTCGCCCCAGATTTTCAGAATCGTGAGTTTTGATTTTGCTCATTCAGTCAATCAGCATTTTTAAGTGGCTAATTCAGCCATGTCTGGGAAGTTCCAATACAGAGATAATTATGGAGATCATCCCTGTTCCGAGGAGAAGAGAGCATCTTGGAAGCCAAAATTTAGTAACAGTACAGGTTAGGGGAATATATACTAACCTCTGTTTTATGCCATGTAAGCGTGACCCACTCTTTGCCTTTCTTTTATTTTAATCCAGCCTCATGATGATTCTGAGACTTGTCTTATTGCTGCTCTGAGAATCCAAAGGAACTGAAGACTAAATTCATGTGATTCTACGGGCAGAGCATACACTTTGTATTTAAAAGATAAGCTTCAACGTGGAATGTTAAGTGTCTTCTTTTACGTTAGAAGCAACAGAAATGCTCCAAAATGAACAGGAGTTTGAGGGATTTTTTTTTAAACCAAAAACTCAGCTGTTTTCTACTTGTCAGATAATGATTTTATTAAAGATATTTAATAAATCATTATGCACGCTTTCATTTACTGTGTCTACTTTTATATATGTGAAGTTTTTTTTTTGACAATTCCAAATACTCATGTCTGATGTTTAAATTAAACTATAAGTTCCCAGATAATGGAATGCCAGAAGTGAACTTTACAAAATGCTGATGTAGCTGCTTGTCATTTGTGTGATATTAGAAATTACAGTTCTTCCATTTTAATTTTATTGCTGCCAGTGTTATTTTTCCCTTTAAAAAAACTCTAAGCACTCTCTGTGTACTAACAGAATGTATTCAGTATTCAAATAAAATGCATTCTGTTTTAAACCTGTTTCTCTCATTTTAATGTCCTCTCTCTATACTCAAATCATTTTCAACATTTAAGTGTTCAATTATTAATGAAAGAGATTGGGAATTCTTCCTCAGGAGCAGATATTTTCCCTTGCTGGAACAATGGAGATAATATTGTAATAATTCTGAAACAAAAATGATTTTGTCCATTTTGTCCCAAATCACCACTTCATTTTTAGGCAGAATTATGACAGTGTCCGCAGCACTTACTTTTAGGCCCCAGACTAAACATCAAGAGACTTGAGTTCTAGCCCGGTTCTCCCACTAACTGGTTATAGGTTCTTTGGAAGGTCATTTCCTCTCTCTGGGTCTCAGTTTCTCATCCATAAGGAGGAATTTGGACTAAATGGTTGATGAGATCCCTTAAAGCTCTAAAAATCTGCAATTTTGATCCTGTTGCCTCTACTCCATGGTGTCAGATTATAAACCCATTCTTTATGTGAAATGGTGAGTAGAGCCCCAGTTGGCAAGAGCAGAATTGATACTGTTGTGTTCACTTCCCTTTCCTAGCTGACTTTCAAGGAAGTTATTAGACTTCCAGTGATAAGTAATTCAATTAAGGGAAGAAAGGAAGGAAAGGGAAGGGAAGAAGGGACGGGAAAGGAAAGGAAAGGAAGGGAAAAAAGAAAGAAAAGGAAGAAAACCTACCAGTGTAACCAAAAGGGAGGAGGGAAGGAAAGAAAGGAAAGGAAAGGGAGAGAAAGAAAAAGAACCTACCAGTTTAACAAAATAGAAAACCCAGACAAAATCCTTTGATACACTTCAAAAATATTCTACTTTAAAAAATCCCACTTATCCTAACGGTGCTAAAGAGGTTGTTAGCACAAGCAAAGTTGGAAAAAGTGGTTTTCATTGGGTGCTGTGTGTACTATCAGAGATGACTGAGAAGACCCTTCAGATTTGGATTGACAATTTATACTCATGATTATGATACAAAAGTAGAAACTGTGAAATTGATTATAAAGATATATGCCATATCTGTAAAATACTCTAGTGATTGAAAGTTTAAGAAACTAGGGGCACCAGGGTGGCTCAGTAGGGTTAAGCATCTGCCTTTGGCTCAGGTCATGATCTCAGGGTCCTGGGATTGAGTCCCGCATGGGGTTCCCTGCTCAGTGGGGAGTCTGCTTCTCCCTCTGCCTCTGCCCCTCCCTCCCACTCATGTTTTCTCTCTCTCACACACAAAGAAAATCTTTAAAAAAGATGATAAAATCTAAAAAAAAAGAAAGTTTAAGAAACTAGCTTGAAGCTATGCCATGTCCAGGACTTTTCTCAAACGGGTGTGGAGTGGGTGACGGTATTTGTATATGTGGAGTGTTTTGTTTCTTAAAGAAGTCCTTGATATCCACTGACTTACTTATTTTACTCTTTTGTAATAAGTAGAATGCAGAAGAATCTTTATTTGGATGATTCTGATTCATTGGTGTTTTACTGATTTATGGAAAAGGGTTGTCCGATTTACAAAGTATTTGGTAGTTTATTTCCTTTGGCTTGTTATTACCTTATTAAAGTGTTCTTATGATATCTTTCTGGGCACTGCTATGAATGCAAAGTGAAACATTTGAGAACTCTTCACTTGTTAATACTCAGCTACTATATAGTGCCCATGTTTTTGAGAAACATGCCACGTTCAAATTTGAATATGTTCATCACGGTCTCAATGGAGCCTTCATCTAGTGGAGGCTTCCTTTGGCTTCCAGGCTGCAGAAATTTGCAAATTGTGGGAATGTAGCTGATTCTGGCCTTGAATTCCTAAAATGCAGAAGTATACTAGCCATGAGAAGAGAATATGGCAAAATAGATAAAATATAAATGATGCATATTTTTGCATGTGACAGAAAGTGTGTAAAAATTATATTCCTCGTGGTTGGTAGAAACAGGAGATAAAACGGAATTTTCATACATCATGTGGCATTGTGAAGCAACGCTACCCTTGTACAAAGCAAGTTAGCAATATTTCTCAAGAACCACAAAAATGTTCATAGGCTGTAACCAAGTGACCCCATTTTTCAGATTGCATCCTAATAATACTATCTTAAACATGGAAAAATGTATACCCATAAAGATGCTGTTGCAACGTTATTCATAAAAGCAAAAATTCCAGAGTATCCTGATATATAACTAATAAATAGAAGCCCTCATGTCATAAGGATTTTTCCATGTCGTAATCTTGGAAAGTACACCTTTAGGTGGCTGCATAAAATTCTGCCCAATGGATGTGTCTTCACTTATGTAGACCCTTCTCAGGTATTGAATATTTAAGTTGTTTATGATTTTCAGCATTTAAAATAAGGTTATTCTGAGCACAGCCCATGGAATATTATATAATCATGAAAATTTTCAAAAATAGAAGACTATGCTGTATCCAAATGAGGTGGTGGACTACATAAAAATACCCAAATATGCTTATAACATAATGTGAAGTGGGAAATTGAGGCTGCAGAATTACCACAACTTGGACAACAACTATTTTAAATAACCATATTTTTAAAAGGTTAGCAAGGGGGGCGCCTGGGTGGCTCAGTCAGTTAAGTGTCTGCTTCGGCTCAGGTCATGATGCCAGGATCCCGGGATTGAGCCCTGCCTCGGGCTCCCAGCTGAGCAGGGAGCCTGCTTCTCCCTCTGCCTGCTTCTCCCCCTGCTTGTTCTCTCTCTGACAAATAAATGAATAAAATCTTTCTTAAAAAAATAAAAGGTTAGCAAGGAATCCACCAACGTAGCAAAGTGTTTTAGAACTGAGGCCACAGAATCAGTCAGGCCGAGGGTTTCATCCTGGTCCCATCACCTGCTGACCGGGTGACTTGAGGGAAAGTTCTTTAACCTCTTGGAGCCATGTTGCCTTTTCACTTTGAGGATAGAGTAACATCAATGCGGTCATGTGCCTTCAGTGCTTGGTACAATGCTCGGCACCTAATAAGTGTATAGTTGATGGCTATGGTTATTGTTAAATAATGGCTCTGTGAGGGTGATAATATCTTAAATCTTTTCCTGTCATTTTATTGAGGTTCTACATTCAGGGCAAAACCTTTGAGACTGAAGGCCTGCCAGAAGTCGGCCTTGGATCCCCATGCTGGCCCCGATGACCCTCATCTGCTTTCCTATGCCACTTTATTTTTAAATTTACTACCTTATATTGAGGTTATCTGTCTATGTGCTTATCTCGCCCGCTAGGTGTGTTCCTTGAGGGCATCTGTATCTTTAGCACAGGTCTTGGCATAAAGAAGTTAGCAGCGTCTTCAATAATAATGAATGACTGGTTGAAAGAATAAGTGAATGCTACAAGTTCGTCCTTCCTGAAGTTCCTGGGAGTTATTTGGATAGCATTACCTGTAGCAGAGGGAAGCCTGCGAGGACACTGGGTTTGCCCTCTTCAGCCATTAAGATGACTTCGGGGAGCTGTATATCGGCCCAGCTCAGCTGATCGCCCACAAGGAAATCTTGCCCGTGGTCTCTTAGAGCCCGCATGCCAGTTGAGAAGAAGGTAGAGGATTTAAGGGCATTAAAAATAAAAAATAAATAATATCAACTAAACAATCCATATGATTAGGCTATAAAATTGTTGATATGATAAATATATTCAAATGTATATACTAAATCATTCAATTAGAACCATTGTTACTCAACCCGGAAAGGATGGATTAAACCAGCAGATAACTTAAAGTCAGGGTGATTTGGCAGAAAGTCTTCTAGAAGTTTAGAGACCTGGCTCCTCGTCTTGGGCGCTGGCCAGCTGTGTGAGCACATATAAATCCCATCTCTGAGGGCTTCAGTTTGTTCATCAAAAGAGGTGGGATAGCTTGGGTCCTCCTGAGTATCCTGAACACTGGAAACAGGCTGATCTCGCACACCTTTGTCTTCTTTTCATTACATCCCCTGCACCTATTCTATGAACGTTTACAGAATAATTTTACCCCCATAGTCTGGATTGGTGGTCCTCCTGGGTCTAGGATGATAATTCTCTCCTCACACCGTCTCAGGTCAGGATCCTTATTAGGATGCTGCTCTATGTGGGAGAACATCATTCTCCCAGGGACCCACACCTCATTTCTACAAGCAGATTTTCTTCTAATGGGGCTCTGACTTATAGGTCACTCTGAGTCAAAATCAACTGAAAATAAAAGATTGGAGAAGAAGGTCATTAAGGTATTGTCTAGCCCTCCAAACTCTCTGATTTTGTGATGCTTGGACATGGGATCAGGAGTTAGAGAGACCAGAGTGTAGGCCCTAGTGTGATTAGTTGTATGACATCAGGCAAGTTACCTTGCGTCTTTAGGCTCTGGTTGCTTCATCTGCAAAATGGGGATAACAATGGCACATCTTCCACGGAGTTATAAAGATGTTGTGGGATCATGCATGCAAAATGCATGGCACAGTGCTTAGCACATAGTAAGCACTTAGCAGAAATGAACCATCAGATGATTAGCTCTGTTTTGGTGATGATGCTGATGTTGATACTATTTTGAGCCACAAGAGAAGTCTCTTTTCTTCATAGTATCTCACAACAAAAACTTAAGTCACTGGGAATAGTGATGTTAAACATTCATTCCATTGTCTATATTAATAAAACTATAAGAAAAAATTGCTTAAATTATATGCTAATTACAATGGAATAGATTATCTTTTAATTTCAAAGGAATGATACCAAGAAAGCCTGAGGTATAGAATATTCATATTTTGATCCATCTTCCATCTTGGACCAAGGGGACTGATACCTCACTAAATGTAATTAATGGAAAAGTATAACATAGGAAGTTAGAGAATCTAAAATCTACATTAAATACATAAATATAAGGGGTGCCTGGGTGGCTCTCGGTTAAGTGTCTGCCTTCAGTTCGGGTCATGATCCCAGGGTCCTGGGATGGAGTCCCACATCGGGCTCCCTGCTCAGCAGGGAGCCTGCTTCTCCCTCTCCCACTCCCCCTGCTTGTGCTCTCTCACTCTCTCTCTGTCAAATAAATAAATAGAGTCTTTTAAAAATAAAAAATAAATACATATCAATTAAATAATCCATATGATTAGGCTATAAAATTGTTGATATGATAAATATATTCAAATGTATATACTAAATCATTCAATTAGACCCACTGTTACTCAACCCAGAAAGGATGGATTAAACCAGCATTGCTGGTGGGTTTGGAAAACTGATATCTCATTTTTACCAAACCCTTAACATTTTTCATGATCCATTCCTATGTTGACTGATATAATGAACACATCTTGACCTTGAGGTCAAGAGCACTGATAACTAAAGAGGTCTTCCAACACTGTATTAGGGCTGGCACTAAGTATTTGCTTCCAGCTCAAGTTTCTCAGACATTATTTTCAGCTGTTAAAAATGCAGGGACAGATGAAAAATAGTACTATTTTGGAACAATTGTTTTCTTAACATTTTGAATATTGTATAGAATTCTGAGAAGCCTTATAAAGTACCCTGAGCCCTGGTACTATCCAGTGTATTTTAGAAGTAATATCCATCTTTTCCCTCACTCCACCTCTCTAATTAGTGTGGGATTTTTCCTCCCTAGAATCTTCTTTTTTGGGGCGCCTGGGTGGCTCAGCTGGTTAAGCGACTGCCTTCAGCTCAGGTCATGATCCTGGAGTCCCAGGATCGAGTCCCGCATCGGGCTCCCTGCTCGGTGGGGAGTCTGCTTCTCCCTCTGACCCTCCCCCCTCTCATGCTCTCTCTCTCTCATTCTCTCTCTCTCAAATAAATAATAAAATCTTAAAAAAAAAAGACTCTTTACTCCAGAAGTAAATCAAGCAACTGAAATTCTGTCAGCATTAGAACCCCAAATATTGCTGAAGTTATGCATGGAATCCTTAAAAATAAAATGCAGAAGACCGGACTGAGAGGAAGGAGAGCAGACTTGTTTTGTAACTGCCACTGAGGGGAGAGTTTTGCTTTCACAAAGTGTTTTGGGGATTTTTCATCCACCAATGAAGTTCTCTACTTTTAGTTTAGTTCTTTTTCTCCTCCTTGATCCAAGTCACAGGGCAGGGCAGAAGTTTGTCGCTTACCTTCTCATAGACAGGGAAGAATCTTGTAGTAGCTCTTTCAAGGATGTCTTCAAGATTCTTCTTCTTCTCTCCAGGCAGGGACAGTGGAAAGAACATAATCATGTCGCTCAGGTCCTTCTACATACATGTCAATCCTAGAGAAGGAGTGATAATTCAAAAGAGTTGCAGATAAAGGAACCATCATTTCAGGAGCTAAAGAAACAAGTTATCAGTGCTTCGCACCACCTGCCTCGTAGCAGGTGCCTCAATGTCCCATGATTTAAAATCAAGTATTGCTGCCTACATGCTATTCCTTTGAGATATTAAGATCAATTTGAGAAACAGAAAAATGATAGGACTAGAGTGTGGGAGCAGTTATGTGGTGTGTGAATATCAGCTGTGTGACGTGAGTGCTAAGTAAAACATACACAAAGTATTAAAATAATCCTAAAGTAATAAATGAGGCAAAGATCATATTCGGCTATTTAAATGTTATAATAAAAATGAAATTGCCCATGTCTATACAGGTTGAGGAAGAGGCAACCAGGGACCTCTATGCTCCCAACAACATCTCCATCTGGATTTAAAGGTTCTCAAACTTAGTAGAACAATTCAAGAAGGCACAGAACTTACTCCACAGGTCCCCCTTGCCACCACTCACATCTCTGTGCCAGAATGAATAGAAAAACAGATATTATGTTAGACAAGGCACCATGGGCATTGGGAAACCTCTGTCCTGGTCCAAAGTGAGTTTCTTAATGTTTTGGAGCCATAGTTCTTTTAACTTTAACCTAGAATACCAACGAGTATCTTGAAATAGCCTCCAATTCTTTGTACTTCTGCCATTGAGAATAACTCTTCATTCTCCCCTTGAATCTGAATGGGCAACTTGTTTGACCAACAGAATGTGGGGAAGTAATGTTCCAAGACTTCTAAGACTAGGTCATAAGAAACCTTATAGCTTCCACCTGGTTGTCTCCCACATTCGCTCTGAGGGAAGCCAGCCACCTCATCAAAGAAGCTCAAGCTGGCCTCATGGAGAGAAAAGTCATGTGGGGGGAGAGATACCCTGCCAGGCCCATTTGTTCCAGCTCTCCCAACCCAGGTGCCAGACATCTGAGTGAAGAACCACATGAGAGGCTCTTTGAAGAGTGCCATCCAGCTGATCCCTGTCAACTCACAGAACCCTGAGAGATGGTGTCTGCAGCAACAGCCAGCCAGAAGAGGAGCATTCTGAGCAGTAGGGTTGTTTGGGGATTATGTAGTAGAAAGAGGGTTAAAATATAAAGTGTCTAACACATATAAGGTTTTATCATCATGAGATACCAGTGAGGAAACCATAAAAATTATTAATTCATTTTCAATTTATAAACATTAGTTTTGTGAAAGATGTACTAAAAACAATTTTGCAGTAAAAGGAACCACAGCTCCTTAGAAAAATGGCTGAGTTCAGGTCCAGAACAAGAGATGTACAGGGTTAATCTGGATTAACCCCTTACAAGGAAGTTATCAGAGACCACTAGAGTAAGTCAAACATTCCCGGGAGCGACTTTGCTCCCACTGGCCAAAGGCAGGACAATTTGAGCATAAATAAAAGTAACAACTAAAGTGAATTGAAACACGTCAAAGATATTTAAATTGATGAGCTCATAGTGACACTAGAACAATAACAATAACAATAATTAATTGGTAGGCTATAGGTGAGCCAACTCATTTGGAAAATTGGTAAACAAAGGTCTATCATGTCTTTCCTAGAATAAATTGTACTCCAGATAACCAGATAGTAAATGAAGGAAAGTTTTTCTTTATAGAAGTGTCCTAGATAATAAACGCAGAAGGAATGATAGCACTGAACACCAATGGCTGTTAAAATCATAAAGAATAGACAAGTATTTTTTGCTTCCTGATTGGGGAATGCACCAATACCTATGAAATAGTCTTGCAAAAACCACTAGAATTTGAGTCTGTTAAAAGCTCTATATCTAACAACCAATTGACAGGAAATAGAGACAGAGGAATGTGTTAAACTACACTGCAGGGATGCAATCAGCAGAAATTTGGCAATTAGAATCTGTTAGAAAGCAAGAGAAAGCTTATGTTAAGATTTAAAAATACAGGATCTATTTCAAAAATTTTACTGCATTAAAAATTTTAAAGTTCAGTTTCTGAAAATAAATGTATTCTTTAAAACAATGAGAAATTTATTTAAAACACACCTCCTTTGGTAAAAATGGACTATTTGTTGGTTACTAAGGGTTTTCTAATTCTGTGCCGTAATTTGCAATTGAGGGTTGCTGTTTTAACATTCTAAGACAAGACAATGTTTTGCTGGTTTGTAGACAGGTATGCCCATTGCAAAAGGACAGGTGTGTACATGTGAGAATTAAGAATGTCTGGGACCCTGGGGCGGGGGACTATCTGGTGTGCCAGAGCCTAAGGAGGTGGTTTCTGAAGGCTACTTCCTGAAGCAATTTCACAGGGTCATGCTCCCAAATTTGTTCTTATGATTTACCCTGTGCTTTACTCCCACCTAGTGGAGGGAAACACAGATTTCACCAGAAAGAGGCAGGAAATGAAATAAACTGTAATTGGCCATGAATTGGTAATTGTTGAAAGTAAATGTGTACACCGGGTTTATTTTACCATTCTCTCTCCTTTGATGTGCATTAGATTTTTCCACAAGAAGTTAAAAAACAAGAAAAGCATTTTCAGTGAATCTATCAAGAACTACATACGATTGCTAACATGACTAAAGGTTAGATTTTGTTTGTTTAAGTAAGAAATAATTGCTGTTACCAGGCTTGTTCCTGCAGGTTCCTTCCATGCAAGTCAGATTTTGCAGCTAGGTATCTTAGGATAGCTCTGGTTTCTGCCAAATTCATCCCATCGATTTCGACCATGGGCATTTGTTCATACATCAGGGTTCCACCTTTAAATGTAAAAAGGAAAGTTGGGTTCTTTACTATCCCTGATGGTAGTAACTGAGTCTTCTTTAACTCTTAAGGTGCTACAAAATGGGACTACATAATTAACTATGATTAAAATATTTTAGAGACTAATCCAAAAGCAGGAATATGTAAGCATTTATTCGCAGAAAGATGTGCAGAGTGCAAGACTTGAGGCTGAGTCCTCTGGGAGACACAACAAAGTGCAGACACAGAAGCTTTCTTTCTGGCCGAGAATGTCCCTTTCTCATCACTTACTCTCCATCCCTGTGGCCACCCCGCTGGCTAGACTCTCTTTCCCTCTGAACCATCGTAATAATGTCCTAGCTATTAACTCAGCCCTCAGATGGGCCCTCCTTTTTTTTTAATTAAGCTTTTTAATTTTAATTCCAGGACAGTTAACGTACAGTGTTCTATTAGTTCCAGGCATACAATATAGCGATTCAACAATTCTATATATTACCCAGCGCTCATCACTGTTAAGTGTGATCTTAATTCCCTTTACCTATTTCAGCCATTTCCACCTCCCCCCCCCCCCCAGTTTGTTCTCTAGAATTAAGAGTCTGCGTTTTGGCTTGTGTCTTGTTTTCTTTGTTCATTTGTTTTGTTTCTTGAATTTCACATATGAGTGAAATCATATATTTGTCTTTCTCTGACTGGCTTATTTTGCTTAGCATTATACCCTCTAGGTCAGTCCATGTCATTGCAAATGACAAGATTTTCTTCTTTTTTTGGCTGAGGATATTCCATGGTATGTATATACCACATCTTCTTTATCCATTCATTTATCGATGGAAACCTGGGCTGTTTCCATCATTTGGCTATTGTAAATAATGCTGCGATAAACACATGTATCTCTTTGAATTACCGTTTTCATAATCTTTGGGCCACTACCCAAATAATGGGATTACTGGATCATAGGGTAATTCTATTTTCAACTTTTTGAGGAAGCTCCATGCTGTTTTCCACAGTGGCTGCACCAGTTTGCATTCCCACCCACAGTGCACGAGGGTTCCTTTTTCTCCACAGCCTCACCAACACCTGTTGTTTCTTGTGTTTTTTATTTTAGCCATTCTGACAGGTGTGAGGTGGTATCTCATCGTGGTTTTGATTTGCATTTCCCTGATGACGAGTGATGCTGAGCAGATGGGCCCTTCTTATCTACTCCACATGCACTGCCTGCTTGTTTTCCCGGAGTCATAACACTGGGCTTAAACCTTTCCATTACTCCTCTTTGCTTACAAGACAATAATATTTAACCTCAACCTAGACTCCTTGACATTTGCCTCCATGTACCTTCGGCACGTTATTCCACACCACTCTCCTACGTGAACCCAAGTCCCGGTGGCCTCCCATCAGAGAGACAGCTCTTTGTTTTGGGCTTACTTTTTCAGTCTTCCAGGAAATCTTTGCATTACACAACAGCGACTTGAGAGGGCAATGGTTTAATTTAAAAGAATTCCACTCTCTCTGCCTCATCCTTCCCTCCTTCCCTCCCTCATCAGTCAGTCTGACTCTTCCTCAGAAGGGCAACAGTAAGGATGGCACTTTTCCCACTTTTCCTTAAGTTAAGCCAGTTCTCTGGACTGATTCCGTGGCAAGAACATCCTGGTTTTTCTGCACTTGCCACCAGGTTTAACTGTCAGGGCATTTTCTGCTCCCTAATTACATCTGTCAGGATCCAGCTGGGAGACGGAACCATACTGGTTACTTTAACCATACCAAGTTACAAAGAAGATAATTAGGTCCTGGAGCACTGAGAGGCAACAAAAAGACAGTACAGCATCATGAAGGTGACAAATGCAGAAAGTAAGTATCATCCCTAAGGCTGAGGAAACAAGGAGATGGTGCTGAAATTATTACAATTTAGAAGCTCGGGGGGGGGGGCTCCTCCCACTTTGAACACTCATATGCTTGTTGCAAGGTCCAAGTGCTGCCTTCCTGACATAGAGATATGGATAGATACTGCCTACCTAATTTTCTCTGCTCTTAGAATGTGTGTGCGTGTGTGTATGTGTGTGCGCGCGCACGGGCGCGCGCATGCGCATGCATACATGCCTCTCAGAGATGGAGAGACCATCTATCTCATCCTTGGTCTAATGCAGCATGATGCAAGGCTTTTTTCTCACCTTGGATCAGTTTCTCAAATTCTTCACGTGTTTCAAAAAGTCCTTCTTCAAACTAAAGAATGAAAGAAAGAATACAAGAATGTTGTTATCATTTTTACTGTTATTTCTTTTGATATCATGGAAAAAGAGTGCAATAGAAGTAAAAGGTCTAACCACCAAGGAAACCAATATTTCAACTAGTTATTGAACGCATGCTGGCCTTTTCTGGGTTCAATGAGCCTAAGGACTTTTTTTGGTTTTGTTTTTTAAAGATTTTATTTATTTGACAGAGAGAGACAGTGAGAGACAGAACACAAGCAGGGGGAGTAGGAGAGGGAGAAGCAGGCTTCCCGCGGAGCAAGGAGCCCAATGTGGGGCTCGATCCCAGGACCCTGGGATCATGACCTGAGCCGAAGGCAGACGCTTAATGACTGAGCCACCCAGGCGCCCCTAAGGACGTTTTTATATAAAACCAAAACTGAATTCAGTTGACCCAGTAACATGGATATCTCCTGTTGTGTGGATGGAGCCTTCCAGGTAGACTTTTCAGATGACAATCTGAAAGCTAGCTACTCCCCTTCATTGGCTCAGACAAGTTACTCTCTTCTAATTTCAGTTTCCTAATGTGTGAAAATGAAGCTAATACCTAGTCACGATGTTGTCATGATGGCTAAAAGAGATCCTATCAAAGGAAAACTAACCCTCATGTTTGGCTCAATATTGACCATTGTTACTGTTTTCCTCAGAACTTTCCCTTGGGTGGTGTTGGCTGTCCCTCATTTCCAGTGTCCAACAACAAGCAAATGTTAGTTTGATCATTTTATTATATATTATCTTTTTAAACCCAAGAGGCTTAGACACGGAAAAATTAAATTGCAGCAAATCTCAGGAACTACGTGGTAGCAATCGAACAACAGCACTGAATGAACTCAGAAGACACTTTGGGGCATTAAGGAAACATGAATCGAGGTGTAGTTTATTTCCTGGGGCTTTCAAAATTTTTTTGCTTGTCTTAGATTTCCGTTTTATTGTTAGATTGTTACCAGTTAACTTCTGGATACTTTGTCTCTAAAATACATTCACAGATTGAACATGTGCATTTTGTACAGTACAATTTTAATATAAAATTTAAACACAATGAGTTTTCTGTATTATTTCCATCATTATTAGAGATGGAAAACCCCAGCATGTAACTGGAAAACAATATTTTCCCCAAAGATTCTATTCTACCCCCACTGTCACAAAAGTAATTTTTAAATTTTACATTTACAATTAGGAATGATAAAAAATATTAAGAAAAGAGACTGATAACATGGTTCTCTGGTAGTGTTCCTGAATATTTAATGTTAAACCGAGATGGCAGATCACCCTCATTCCTAAACCTTGAAGACCAGCATGAACTACAACTCTTCGTGCTCTTCTCCAAGCCTTCCTGTGATGCTTATGAAGCCCAGAGAGGTTAAGTGACTTGCCTAAAGTCCCTCAGCTAAAAGGTGGAAGGACCAGGGCTAGAATTCCTTCTCTCCAAATCCACTACATGTTAGATACTATCATTTTGCTAAACATGTATTTGTATTTCAATAATCTTTATAGGAAGAAGTCATTCTGAAGTTGATATCAAATATGAGAATATAGATAGGGATAACCAAGGTATAAAGCAACACTTCCCAAAAAGCGTTTTTCCTAAATTTGAAGATTACTTAAGACATTCATGTAGTGTGATGGGGGAAAAAAAAGTATATATTTATGATTTCAATTTCTCCTCAAATTTCTCAGGTCAGGTACTCCGGGGTAACTTTTACTATCTGTTTTGGCCAGGCTCTAAGAGCTCAGAGTGTGGAGCTCAAACTCCAATTCCAACCAGGGTGTTACCAGGTCAGTCCCTGAAAGCAGCTTGGGGAGAGGGCAGCATGCAGGAAATTGTAGCCTGGGTGTGGCCATAGACCAGCATGGGATACAGCAAAATTCCTCAGACTATGCACTGTCTGAGGAATTTTCTGGTAAGTTTAGACTGAGTTTGACCAGATCACACAGCAAGGGTCCCCCACCTGAACGTTTTTGTTTTTAATGGTGTGTTTTCTTCAATGATACCTTTTGCTTGAAGGCTTACTGTGCGAGGGGCCCTGGGCTCTAAGGATACATGAAGCACGGCCATTTTAGCAAAGTCATGTATGCTAGAGCATGATGACTTAACTTTTAAAAATTTGCTATGACTCACATCAAAAGGAAAAGTCAGACACAGAAGGTCAATATTACTATAGAATTGTCTTCTAACTCTGACAAGCTACGATGATACCAACCCTGAATACAAAAACTGTGAGGAGGGCGCCTGGGTGGCTCAGTTGGTCAAATGACTGCCTTTGGCTCAGGTCATGATCCTGGAGTCCTGGGATCGAGTCCCGCATCGGGCTCCCTGCTCAGCGGGGAGTCTGCTTCTCCCTCTGACCCCCCCTCTTCCCTCTCGTGCTATCTCTCATTCTCTCTCTCTCAAATAAATAAACAAAATCTTTAAAAAAACAACTCTGCCCCTCACGTTTAAAAAAAAAACAAAACTGTGAGGAGTCAGAAGACCCGGGAAGGAGCTTCATGTGGCTCAGAAGGTAGAATTGGCCATTTATTGTTTTGAAAAAATTAGGTCATTGGAAGAAGAAATAACAAGTTCAAATTTT